AGTTCCATAGTCACCAGCCGCATGTGCCACGGGACACTTGAAACGGGGCCAGTCCAAAGTGACTCCTGGGCTAAGTGTAAAAAATACACAGGGAATTTCAAAGATTTACAAAACTGCAAAAAAAAAAAAAACAAAACAAAAAAAAACACATAAACTTTCTCATTAATAATTGTTCCCATTAGCTGAAATAATCTTGTGGCTAGATTAGGTTAAGTAAATATTTTAAACATTACTTTCACCCATTTATTCTTATCTTTTAAAATGCATCTACGAGAAATTTTCAGTTGCTCCTGGGTTCATGTTACATCTCTGTTGGGCAGCAGCTCTGCAGCGTCACCTCTGTGGCTCATCATCCAGGTTCCGTCTTCAAGCCCTAGACCTCCTGGCACAGGGAGTAACTGGTGACAGGTTGGTTTACTGAATAATGAGTTATGAAAAGAGAACCCAGTGACCTTTTCCAAACAGGTTAATTCCCTTACATTTGGCAAAGAAATTCTCCATAGTAGGGTGCGGACAGGGTCTTCTGGAACCTTCTGAAATAACCTCCCTGCTCCAGAGATTCAGAGACTGTGACCAAGGGCTCCTGGATGCCCCCGATATCTGAAGACCCCAAAGGCCAAACCCTGTATTTTTCCCTTTTCTGAGTAAACAGGAGGTCACATTGCTTTCACAGAGCAGTGTCAAAGGAGCAGTGTCACCTCTGTGGAGACCCAGGCGACTCAAGCTTGGGAGCACCAGGGAAGAGAGGCATGGCTCAGGGAGGCTATAGTGAGGACAGGAGTGGGGAGGAGGGAGATACGGAAGAGGAGGCCTGGGAGGGGCCGGGGGAACTTAGGCAGGATGGGAGCTTGTGGTGGTGGGGGACTGAAAAGAGAGATGGAGAAAGAGGGGATGGGCAGAGAGAGGAGGCGGAGTCAGGGGCGTGGCATGGAGGGGGTGGGGCTGGGCTGCCAAAGCAGGATAAATGCACAGCTGCCTGCTGGTCTGGGCTCCCCACCTCAGGCTCTCACCTCTCCTGCAGCTCCAGCTCTGTGCTCTGCCTCTGAGGAGCCCATGGCCCAGCCCCTGTGCACCCTGCTGCTCCTGCTAGCCGCCCTGGCTGGGGCCCAGGCCTGGAGCCCCGAGGAGGAGGATAGGGTGATCTCAGGTGGCATCCATGACGCAGACCTCAATGATGATGAAGTACAGCATGCCCTTCACTTCGCCATCAGCGAGTACAACAAGGCCACCGAAGATGAGTACTACAGACGCCCGCTGCGGGTGCTGCGAGCCAGAGAGCAGGTGGGTGCTGCCACCGCCCGAGAGGTCCTGAGTTCCAGCCTGGTTTGTCGCGCAACTCCCAAGAGCATTCCCAGCAAATCAACATTGACACATTCATGATCTAGTGCTCAGACTCTTTCAGCTGTCCCTGACTCTCCCCTGATGGCCTTCAGGCCTAAGGGCGCTCCTGGGCTATGCCCTGCAGCCACTGTCTGTCCCCTCAGCCTCCTTTAACCTGCAGGAGCCGCTGTGTCTGTGACACGACCGTGCCATTTCCCAGGGTCCAGCAGGTGTGGGTGGAGACTGTGCTGACTCTAGGTGGGCTTGATGCTGCTCAGGATGAGACCGAGGCCATGAGACTTATCCTTTTCCCTGAGTCCTGTTGGCAGGGGCCACATGGGAACCTGGCTCCCTGTTCTGCAGAGCCCTGTTTCCCTCCCCAAGTCACGCCCTGGGCACAGCCCCTTAGGGCTAGCAGCCTTCACCCTCGGTTTGGCTGGCCACCCCCTACAGCCCAGGGCAGCTGAGTCCCTGCTGGGGTGGAGCATGCCTGAGCCTGCCTCTACGAGCTGATGCAGAGTTAGACCTCAGCCAGATGAGGACAGCAGTCACCCAGCAGAGCATTGGATGGGGTCAGGTCAGGAGGGAGCTTCGAAGGGCTACTGGGCCCAGCTTGACGTGCATCCCATGGCAGAGCAGCAAATAGTGAGACAGGCTTTGGAGCTCCTCCATCTCCTCTTAGAAATTCAAAGGAATCCAGACCAGCCCCATTTCTCCTCCTACAGCTGTCAGCTGGGGCCCTCACCCTGCACACAAGGTGCACTTCCTGGTGCAGTGGTCCCCGCTGGCCTGCACCTCCCTTTCAAGCATGACAATAACTTGGAGTGAAGCACAGGGTACTGCAGACCATC